CATTAACCCTTGAAGAAAACTGCAATATAAAATTATTCCATTTTGTGTTTTGAATGCGAAGCGGTGCTTCGAAGTTATGTATGTGCCAAGCAGAAAAGAATTCATGGAAAAATGAAGAAATACTAGAAACGCTTTTGAAATGAATGCGAAGATTATTATGTATGAAGCCGAAAAGAAAGAAATGGTGGTTGCGCTTAACAAAAAATAAGAGTAAGTACACTAGTTTTTCACAAGTTTTAATACTGTGACAGTCTTTGTCATTCGTATAGATATGTATGATCTATGTAGGTTAGAAAAATAGGCGTCATCAAACGTAAATTAATACTCAGATACTTTATAAACTAGATATAAGTTATAATACATGTTTGACAAGTATATGCAAATAAATAGATTCACGTAATTTAGCGGGGAAAAAAACGATGATATTAAGTGCTTGTAAGAAGAAAAATAGCGACACATAAGCTTTAGGATACGCATCAGTATGATTGAAGCGAAGCATGCTGGTAGGACGTTAGCTTAGACATAATTTTTTACATGAATTTTGCGAGTTAAGTATATCGATTTTTCAAAGAATCGCGCGCATTTTCTTTCATCTTATAAATTGCATTTGTGCTGGCATTATTTTTTTACAATTTGTAGAAAGGTTTCACGCAAAGCAAATTAATTATATAGAGAACACGCATACAAGTTCAAACGTCATGTACGATTTTATCATCTATTAGGAGAACAAATGAATCTTTGAATCAACGCAACGCCGATTTTACTGATTAAATTCAGAGAACTGGTTTTTGTAACTTTTCTACAATCTCTTGCAAAGATATTTTCGACACATCACGCTTGTCGATTATTTTATCTATATTTTCTCGTACGCGCAACTAATCATTTAACGATTGAGCTAAATAACGCTGACGTTTTATACTGAAATTATAACGCGCAAATTAAGCAAATGATTTTAACATACAGTGCAACAAGGAATTTAAAAAAATACATTATACAATTGTATATTTTTTAGTGGGATTTGCAAGAGAAAATAGATTTTTTCCTCTTCGTTTACTTTGCAAATTTGCTTGACATTCGTATCCGAGCGAACGTTCATCTTCACATTAGATTATAACGAAGAAAGCAAGGCAAAGGAAAATGAAAAAAAGACAAACGATAGCAAGTGTATACGGCAGATACATCAAATTTACAGTAGGCAGCCTTCGTATACCGCAGCATATGCAACATGCATAAGTAATTGTCGCGTGACAAGTTACTTTCAAGGTTGCGTATAATATACTGAAGAAGCTGCATACGTTTGACTTTGACAGTCGATTGTTCGGGAAGCTGTTCACCGTATTTGATTTTTAACAAGCTGCTGAAATGCTCTACAATACAACATTGAAATTGTCACGAGTATATGTTGAAAAACTTATTCTGGTTAAATAACATAGTGTCGAGCAAGAGTATGAGAATAACACTTGAAAAAAAAAAAAAAAAAAAAGTGAATAATGTAGATTACCGTCAGACACATTTTTGAGATTTTTGCGCAGCCAAAGTATAGCAAGTTAAACTTTTTAACGACGTAGCGATGTTAGTTACTTTGTCGTGAAATGAAAAATCAAAAAAAGATATAGACTCAATACAAACACAAACTGCAATAAAGATGAATAACAGACTTTCGTGAACGCGCAAATGATGAAAAAATAAAACAAACAATTTTAGACCTAGTGATATATTTACAATAAAGTACGTAAGTCCTAGGATCGAAATTTGCTCATATAAACTCCGAAAGCCAAGATTCGATAAATCGCACCGAATGTTTTCGCGACCTCGTCATCGATCGAAAGTAAACTGAAAAAAACTTTATCCATCGACGCGTTGTCTCCAAAGCACTCTTGGTATACCTTTATAAGCGAATGAATCCCTTCCGACATAACAAAGAAAAGAAGCATACATTCTTGCTATCCAGGATGGCAACACTATACTTAAGGAAAATATAGAACGTACCCACACACTTTACCCGTTTACGTCACCGAAGCGTGAAAACTGTATTCTCTTGTCTATATCAAACTACTTTAAGTCTTATATATCTGACTGTATATGACACGTTATAAGATTTCAATGCGTAACTTTTCTGCAACCCTGACGTTAAATTTCTCATGGAATTATTTTTCATGAAAAATATTTCATAATTATCGTTTTTACGCGAACTTTCTAACAGCGTTTAATCTTCATTTTCTCAGGCATAATATTTTTTTTATTTCAATGTCCACTTTTTGACGATGGCAATTAAAGTTATTGTTGACAAGTTATATAAATACACTTAATGTTATTGATAACTAATTTTTCAAAATGTAACGAAAAAAAAGAGAATTAATATTTTTATCAGTGTATTTTTGTACTTATTCGTGAAAAAGAAAACATACAAAAAATTTTTTATTGCATGCTTATATCGAGAATGTTCATAATTATAAACACGTACTCTTAAACAAAAAAAAAAACAGTACTAAACGGAATAGATAAATTTTCATTTTTCTGAGCAAGATTGCAAAATATGTGGTAAACCGTATATATGATATATAATATATACAGCAATCACCAGAGAAATTAAAGTTTATGCGATATCCGCTGTACATTACATACCAGTATTACCTCGTAATAAGAATCTCTGTTGATTCAATGTCGTATATTACATGTATATATATATATATATACACACACACATATATATATATACCCTCTAATATCGCGAAGAAAACAACTTCAACATTTCTCTTTTGTATTTAAATTATAAATGTAACTTGAAAGCGTTCGATAAATCGATGTTTCTAGCGTGTAAATTTGACTTACTTAAAACTTTTCCGATAGTTACGAAAATGACAAAAATTTCCCTATACGCGCAGCTACTCTCTTGTACATGATTGACGCATAATGAATCATGGTACAGGAAAACTCGTATTTCATGGACCTGATTGTTATGCTTAATACTATAGAGTATACCGGAATACGTAAGCCAATATGGATTTCAATGTATTTATCAAGTTAATTATTATTTCGGTTGAGAAAAACTAGGCGTCTATGGTTTGCGGAAAGCATTTGTTATTCTGTTGGAATTGACTTTGTATTGTACATATGAAAATTGCGTAAATTCGAGACTTTTTTATAGCGACTCGTAGTATGTCTTTCCTATTGAGAATTACGTAAATCCTAAGTTTCTAGTATGTTTGTAAAGAAATTTAAAGACAAGGAGTCGTAGACTTCTTTCGAACAATTGTAAAATTTTTCGAAAGTATATTTATTATAAACCCCATGAATCGACTAAGTAGTTTTTTTATCTACACTATTATAAACATTAACAACTGATGTTATAAGGCTTTGAGCTTCAATTATATATTTCTGTCCCCTGAGCACTTAGAACTGATTTCACGAACCAAAATCTGCTACACAAGAAGGTTTATTCTTACTTTTTAAAGTCACTATATACTTCACGTTGAATAATTCTTGTTATAAATCTCTTCTCACGTATCGCGTCGATGATTATACGAAAACATAAAACTTTTAGCTAGGCTAGACTACCTCTACCAATCGATATTTCTCAAAATGAGACTTGACAATTCTTCGTTGCGAGCGGCGCAATCATCACATAATATACATAAACAAGGCAAAATGCAAAAAAACAGAAAATAAATAAATAAAAATAAAAGGCAGAGGAAAAGAAGAAAAAAGTTCGAGGGTGAGACCGAATTTAAAAAAAATTGCGATAATTACAAATCTCTGCGGTATATTTGTATGCGATAATGCACGTCAGAGATTGGAAGAAATGATTTCTAATTGTCCTTCGAGCCATACGACGATCCGTGATACCGCATAATCTGTATAAATTTATGGACGCGGCGACAATAATGGCGTTAAGACGTCCGTGATTACTTGTAAACGCTGATGACAAAAAAGGAAAAAAAGGAAAAAAAGGAAAAAAACGACACCTGCATATCAAAGCGCTCCGTATAGCACTGGTACTAATTAGTAGTTAGATATTGATATTTTGCGCGCATACAATTATGTATAATCAGGAGTGACATCAATCTCTTTGCCATTGTATTCGTCGGAGAAAAAAACACTTTTTAATTTGACTTGGCGATCTAGCGTCTGCCCGGATAATGGGATTACTTTTACTCTCTGCTATTGTAAGGGAAAAAATCGTAGACAGAAAAGAAAACACAAGAAGTTTATATATCGTTGAGAAGAGTTTTGGCCTAATCTATGTGTCACATCGATGTGTTAAATCTATATCTTTATCTATATATACACACACTTACGTCAGCAAGGATCTACGTAATGTTTAATAAAGTATAACCGTGAGAGGTCGCCTCATATATCCGTGGAAAAAGCTAGAGATAGGCACTTAATTCACAAGAAAAACACACGGTGAGGCGATGTGTATCTCGCCTTGTAACTTGCGATCATCAATACGTGTATATATGTGCGCAGTATAACATCCAATCCTAGTCGAGGGTGCGTAATCTTTATAAAACCGAATATGCTCGATTACACTCGTCTAATATGTACGCGCGCACGACAAACACGCATACACACGACATACAGCAGAAGATAAAGGGCAGTCGCAAAAAGTACATATACATGTACATATATTTTTTAATTGACGAACGAAGTCGTGCGTGCTCACTGTGCTCGCTCGCAGTGAGAATAAAATGCTTTGATGTCAGGTAATGTGTCACTAAAGAGGTATGGAATTCGAAAGACCACTTCCATCAAAAATGCGTATGTGTGTACCGTCGACTGTTGTAACATGACAATTTACCATCCAATGTAAAGCCGACAATTCATTCCGAATGACTTTGTATCTATTATTTTTCAGAAATAAATATTTAAAGCAATACGTCACACAGAGATCAAATTTATTGCTCCTAAACTAAAAATCGAATCTTTAATTAGAAGTTACAATTTAATATAAATTAGGCATAAGGTAAATAATTAACCATGTTTATTGGGGATGGATTTTTATTATTTTTTTTTATTAAAAGTTACATTTTAAAAAATGTAGGACGATCGTCAAGACCAAAGCTGCTTCGTGTTTATTGAACAAATAAAAAATATAAAGTTCTTGACTACATTGCTATACATCTTCGACTTAATTGAAGACTACTTACTTGAATCGAATGTTATTTTATTACAATAGACTTAAGCCTTAAACGTAAATTCTCAGATGTGAATGAATCCATCATTTTTCTCAATCAATCCATATGCGTGTGTGTATTATCATTACAAAAACATCATTGAACGTTCTAAACCACTTCATAGTTTCTTACTATTTTCGCAATAAATACATAGTTCTATATTTTAACAATATCTTCCAGATATTACGGTAGAATGTTGTAAAAAATCAAATTCAACGCAAAATACCACAAAAATTTGGTAATACAGATCGACTTTATAACAGTGCTTACATTTAATAAAAAAAAGTACAAAAATTAATACTATATTGTGATTTTAATTACATTTTTTCTTGTTTTTGAAATCCACACATAATTTCTGAAAGATATTGAAATAAACAATTGTTCCTCCTAATGAATATGTTTCAACTTGATTAAGATAATAAAATCAAGTGATTTCCAGTATTTTATAATCAAAGTAATAGTTATGAGCTTTTTTAAAAGTTCTATATACAACTATGGATTTGTCAATCTTATGCAGCTTCAAACGTAACATGTCAAAAATGTTTACACTATTTACTCATATTTTTTTTTAATGTTGTGCAGTATCTCTTGGAAATATTTGACAACCGACAAGTATACAAAATTATGCAATTCTTAGATACTCAATTACAAACTTTTTATCAATGATTTGTACTTAAACTATTTTCGTAAAAAAAAATATACAGATGGAAGTGTTTGGTGGAATTATCCATCAAGAAAGTACATTACGATTCAAATACTTGAATTGCAATAAGCAATAATTTTCCATATTTCTTCGTTATTCATAGAAAGCATTATGAAAACTAAGTATAATTCATCATACTTAAAGCTTATAATGCGAATTATTAGAAAATAAACAATGATCTCGAGTGAAAAGAAATATATCGGTTTTCTCTTAGTGATAAATGACAGGACCAAACGTAAAACAATTTCACAAAATATTGGAATACATGTACAAATTTGCTCCTATTCTTGTCGAACAAATCTAAAAAAGCACTTCACAATGCTAAAGCATCGCACGTAGAAGTCTTAATCAAGAAGAGTTGACGCTAATTATACGTCATCTTTACTTTACGTTTTCTCATGGAATTTGTAATGGTGAATCTTTAACGCCCTCAAATTTGGATATTTGACGTTGCACTTAGGACAAGCCATACCTTGGCAATTCTTGATAGTATAATTCGTCAAATCAAGCTCAGACCAAAGAGCACTTTTACTTGCTCCGGATTGATAAATCGCTTTGTGCATGACTATCATATGCTTGTTTATCGCGGTCTTGGAGAACACGTGCTTATCGCACAAATTACAGTTGTAAATCATGTTTGTATGCGTAGTCTCGTGATTCTTCAACGAACTGAGACTGTGAAAGATGAGCTTGCATCCTGGCGCAATACAAGGGAAAGTCGGTGGCCTAGGTTTGTGTTTATGTGAAAAATGCTGCTTGAGATTTGAAAGTCCTGGGAATTGTTTTCCACAAACATTGCAACAGACAAAACCTTCCGAATTCATCAGGGGTACGCACTCAGTGGGTTTGCTACTAGTCGGTTTCATCACTTTGGTGGCCGTAGGTATTTTGTGTACAAGCTGTTTATGCTGGTAAAGTACGCTCATGTTTGGGAACATCTGCATGCAATCCGAGCAAGTGACCGATTTTTTTCTTGACAATAAGTTTGACGGACTGGCAGCTGAAAACTCGGCATTTGGTTCATTTTTCACCTCTTCGTACTTTAGCGGATCCGGTGGAGGATGGTGTATCAATGCTGTAGTTGTAATTTTTTTTGCGGGTATTTGCGAACGCACAACGTTTAAATGACTTTGAGAAGCTTTGTGCCTCCTAAGCGAAGCCTCTGTGGCAAAGTTCTTTTGACAGGTGTTACAGTAGCAGTTGCGCCTTGACTGAAGAGACTGGAGATTCATCATTGACGCTACTGGCAAAACTTTATGAAGTTTTTTATGACGTAAGAAGACCTTACGGTTGCTGTAATATTTGCCACAAGTTTCGCAGTAAAAAGGCTTATTCGTTTCGTCGACAGTTTCGATGCGGTTTAGATCATTACCGTTGTGATAGCCAGCAAGAATAGGGTTTTGCTGATGCCACTTCATATGGTTCTTTAAAGCCTCTTCATCGGGGAATTTATTGGTGCACAATTCGCATTGCAAGTCACTCGTAAATGACTTTTCTGTTTTGTTACGTGCACAGTGTACGTCCCACAGATGCTTTCTTAACTCAGCAACATCCGAAAAGCGATCGGCGCAGACTTGACACTGCAGGCTTGTAACGGCATTGAGCTGTTTTTGCGATGGATTGTTGGGAAATGATTTTCGAGCCTTGGCAGGTTTTGGTGGGCTCGCCGACATTGGTGTTATCGTGTATCCCGGACCACTTAGCATATTCTCATCTAAGCTAGCATTTTGATCTTTTTTCAAGCGATAATTAGTCCGCAAATGCCATCCACGATGAACCTTAAGAGATTGTTCCTCACGGAATGTCTTGCCACAAACATCGCAGGTGTGACCACGTGAAGTGAGAGTAGGAGGGCGTTGAACTGGACGAGGTGGGGAAGGAGTCGCTAAAGGCACTGCGCGCGATGAAGCTATGATGCGTTCGAAATGATTCTCCTTGTGCACGTTCTGGCAATGTTGAATGAGATTACCTTGGTAGGCAAACATCTTGGGGCACTTGGGACACTGCATCAAAGGCTTACCGGTCGTTGCGGAGATCTTCGGTGGCGAGGTTGACTGAAATAAGAAAAAGCATTATGATCAATACATATCGAATCGTCGTCGTGGCTTTAATGTACAAAAAAATATTCACCAGCAATTTTTCAGGCTGTGGTTGTAACTGAGGTTGTACATGCGACTGAGTCGGTGACTGTGCCTGTCTGGATCTATGTGCAGTTGCCACGTGTTGATTGTAATCGTCTATAGATTTGAATCGTCTCTTGCACTCGTCGCAACTCCAGCGACGTCTTTGTTTACCGCCATGCAAATTTCTCTCGTGTCTTTTCAAGTTGGCGTAATTTGAAAAGTTTTTGTTGCACTCATAACAGTGGTTGAACTTTCCACCTGGATCCGAAACAGCTGACATAGTCGACTGATTGAGTGAGTTCTCCGAGTTGTATTCAACGCAAGAGCTGTTGGCGTTTTGCTCGCCTGCATCCTGAATGCCATGGTCCTTCATGTGCACCTCAAGAGCACCCGAGCTGCTAAACATACTTCGGCAGATTACACAGGAATATATCTTCACTTTAAGATGAAGATTGCGATGCTCGCTGAGTTCGGCCTTAGTGGCAAAGTTTTCACCGCAGAGTGCACAATTGAATGCTTTTTCACCGACGTCAGTGGGATGCGTTGAAGAGTTCATTGGATCTGCATCTGTGGGATAACTACTTTCTGGCTGCTGTTCTATTTCCATTTGACTATCCTCTATTGGTACATCGCGATGCGTCTCGTGATGAGTGAGGTACTCATCAGCAGTGAAAAATTTCATCTGGCAAGAGTAGCACGTTATTTCACGTTTTTTATGTTCAGAAAATATATGAGTATAGAACTTTTTGTAAACCAAATAAGTCATGTCACAATGGAAACATCTGTAAGAAGTCCGAATGTTTGCCGGAAGAGTTGCACAAAGATCACGGTGTTTGAACATGTTGGGTTTGTATCTGTAAATCATGCCGCACAAATTGCACATGTGATTATGGGCTGGATCTCCATTCATGTATGGACCAGCTGTACTTTTCTTACTTGATGGTGAACACTCTATTTGTTTGGGAACTTGTGCTGTTGAAGTCATGGGCTTCAATTGTGGCAGTGGCCTTAAAGGTTCATTCAATTGCTTATGTTGTTTTTCAGCATGTTCAGCTAAATGATTTAACAGCTCTGATCTATTGCTGAATGGTTTAAGACACATGTTGCAAGTGAAGTACTTTTCACTGCCTACTTTAGGAACTACTAAGGCAATTTTCATAGCACATTCAAATGATGCCCCACAATGAAGTTTGTACATTGACCTATCAGAAAACTCAGTGAGACAAGCAATACAAGTGTAAGGTCGAAGATCTGGCATATGCTGCCTGATGTGATTTAGCGTATGTCTTCGATCAAAAAATGTTTGCTTGCATGTAAAGCATGAGAATGTTTTTAATTGACCTATTATATTCTTTTGAACTGGTGTCAATGGATCAGTTTTTATCATCTTTTCAAACTGTATTTCTTCTGGACTAAGCTCTATTTCTGTTTCTGAAATGGGTTCAGCATCATCAACATGGTCAGTTAACTTTGATTTTTGCCTATTTACACTTGGTTGAATAGGTATTTCTGATGTTTTACTAGGAATTCCATGATATCTAGACATATGCTGTGTATATGAAAACTTAGAGTGCAAATAAATTTGACAATCCGGACATTTTTTCTTAAAGAGACGAGCTCCTCTGAAATGTGTATGAGGACCACGACGAAATTTCTTCTTTCTACGCAACTTTTGCGCAGCAAATTTTTGAGTAGAGTCTGCTTCCATAATTCTATCATTATTAGCAGTGTTACCTACTACTACTGCCATTGGATTGATCAAAAGTTCTCCACTATTTGTCGACTCAACATCCAAGCTGAAATCGTCCTCATCTTCTGTATCTAAAGGTTCAGGTTTAATATGAATTCCAGGAGAAATTTCTCCATCTTTTCTTTCAGTAGGCTTTACGACTGATCCAATATTATTCTCTGAATGAATGCTTTTACCATTTGAAATAACTTGAATAGTCTGAAAATTAAATCATATTAATATATTTACAGGAGAAATATAATTATAAATATGAATATATATAATTTAAGAAATATTTTTCTTACATTATTTAATTCATTTATAGCCTGAGCATTGTTATCTGTGAATCCCATGTCCATAGGTTCTTCTTTGATTATTGTCTGTAATTATATATGTAAATTTAATACAATTTTTCTCCTACATTGAAAAGAGATGAATCATCAAAACTAGTACTTTTTTAACTTACAGGAATGGGAGCAGTCTTTGTCGCTAACCATTGTTTGAGTTTCTTTTGTGTACGCAAACATGAAATTTTGTACGTATGCCAGCGGTTTACACTGTTGATACATGATGTACAAATTTGTGTTGACACTTTATCAGTAGTTAATACCTAAATGTAGATTACAATATAAAAGTCAAAAATTAATTTTCATAATATTTTTAAATAGTAAATAAGTATTATTTATATATATACATACATATATATAGCTAATAGATTTACAATAATTTTATGATAAATTATTTTTACCAATGAAAGTAAAATGATACTTATAAGATAAGTTTTTATTTTTTATAAACAAATTCCGCAAGTTCGGGTTAAAATAAATTTAATAACAAAATTTTCCGATTTGAAATCTTGTTTCCAGCTAATACAAAGTTGTACTTTCCCTATATGTAATCAGTTAAGGAGTGGACCGTTAATTATCCACGCTTCCCAGTGAAATTCACCGTCACTGACCTAACCTTAAATCCCGGTCCAACCGCAAGTTTATCCAAAAAAACGAATAATTGCAAGAAAGGAGTAACAGACAAAAAGCCAGTATTACCTGAATAGAAAGGCAGGAGCGAATTTTGTCAACAATGGGCACAGATAGATAGGGCACGGTGAAAATTGAAGACCTCGTTTGGTCGGTGGTGAGGCAAAGTCTGCAAGCGTTTGCCAGGCTTATTTCTACGACGTCATCCATCCTGATGCTGTTGTCGATGGCGGCGTCGTCGCCTCACCCTGATTAAGGACAAGCGGCGTCGTTTTGTTATTTGGTATCACACTTTCTCGATATTTACACACATCCAAAGCGCAAACCGCTTGCTAAATACAAGTACTGCCGCTTGTAGACGCACACACATACACAACGAGCGGAGAGCGATTTCATAAATTTGCAGCTGGTTCGGCTTTCCAAGTGTTCCTTCGTTTAAGACACCGGACTACCGCCGTTTGCTTTTTTTTCTCTCGCGCCTGCGCTCTTCTCGTATATTATACACTTCCCTAGTCAAAACTGCAAATTTATTAAAGTTCTTATGTGATTTTACAACTAAAATTATGCAGAGAATAAAATTATAATTCATTTTACGATTTTTCAGTTTGTTTGCGTTGATTATTACTACGGTTTTTGTGTGAAGTGATTATTTTTATATCAAGTCAAAGTTACAACGAAAGTCAAGGTGGTGTACTCTCCTCAACTTTCCGTCATCCTATTTGAAAGTTCAATCGGGACCAAGCAGGTCGCAGATTTTCAAGAAGACGATTTTTATAGATTTTAGACATTTATTTGTAAAAATTTGTATTGTACAGAAAATAATTGTATTTCTGTATTCATTTTTTGAATTTTGACTGTAAAAAGAAGCCAAAAAGTTAGTTTAAAAAAGAAGTCAAGATATTCCTTTGTTTGCAGTACCGGCATACATTGTTGGCAGTCGAAGCTTTTTTGTTTTTTTGGTAAGTCCGTAATTTTTAGCAAGTACTTCCAAGAAAATTCTATTTACTTTGTGAATGTTTTCTAGATATTTTAAACAGAATGTTTTCATTTGTTTAACAATAGTTTTTTATTACAATATCAAATATTTTTTGTCTAAGAGCCGCGAAACATGATCGTTCTTGAAATCAAATTTTTTTTATTTATCTTCAAAGATAATCAATGGAAATTGCAAAAAATTATGTCGTGTTAGATATAAAATGTAAATAAATTGTTTTATTACAAAAATGTAAATTCTAAAATAGTTTCCAATCCGGTGTTAAATTTCACTGATAAAGTCAAGATGTATTATGAAAACTGATACTTCGTATCGCATTGATGTTATTGCTAAGTTTCAATCTGAAAAATTTTTCCATTTCAGTTGGTTACAGTTTGAGTGTGCCATTGTCTCTGACGCTGGTGATTTTTAAGACACCCATACAAAATTTTCAAACCAAGATCAACCTTGAAGCAAAAACTATATCACGGTAGTGGTGAGCTTTTTTTTTAATTTGTATAGGATTTTATATATTAACAATTAATACTTAACATTAATTTCTTTTTCTATTGGATCAGTTGTTTCTTAGTCAATTCGATTCTGGGCTGATAATTGTGTGCAGTCATATAAAACGTAAAGCATTGGTAAGTTTCTCTATTTCTTTACATAATCTTTTTTATAAATATTCAATATCAAATAAGCTTTTTTTTATTGGTTATAATTCTTAGAAGTTTTAGCTAATAAGTATAAAATAATTAAAAATTTATTTGTGTTAATTTTTATGATATTGGTTGATCATTTCAATATCCATAAATAAGTTTTAGTTATCTGTCCGACCGATTCCATTTGTATAAAAATAATAATAACATGCCAAAACACAATAAAAAGTTAATTTAATCTTTTGAATATTAACTACAGTTCTTGACAATATTCAAAAAATTTATAAATTGAAAAATGTATAACAAATTATCACAATAAATCATTTAGTATATGAATTTAGTATATAAAAGTACAATAGTCGAAAGTGGAACAAAATAATTTATAAATAGGATTTATATGTAGACAATATTTAACAAATTTATTGAATATTCCTACATATCTAAATATAAAGAAATTTCAATTAAAAGCAAAAAAGTTTTGTTGAATCTTAAATTGTATGTCTAAACGTATCTAACAAAAATTGACCTAATGCTGTACAATAAATCGTCAGTATTTTTAGTTATTATTCAAAAAGTATAACAATTACTCTTATTAAAGTTTTAAAAATATATAAAAAATTAAAATTAAATTTAAATTGAAAGTCATTGATGTTTATACTGAAAGTTGGCCAAAAATGTAAAATAACAAATTATTAAATTTGAAGAATTTAATTAAAATTAGGTAGCTGTATATATTTTCATGCATTGGTTCTTTTTGCCATTATTGGCTTTATACATTAGTACATCAACATTATTTTTGCAATGATTTTTGTGTGGCATTGATTGGAGGGGTCCTTTGAATTGTACGTGCAATATATATTCTGTATCTAATAGTATTATCTTTACTTGATTACTCGCAAATCATTGAATTCTTTCTCTGAAAAGATAGTGCTATTAATGTACATTACTCATCTCATACTAGTCTAGAATAATTATCTATTTACTCATAAATTCATATGAATTGATTTGAATGCTTATTCAAATGAAATGTAAAGTAGACATGATAATATTTTTAATAAACAAACAAATTTTTGAGGATATATCAGTGTTCTCTCATCGACATCAATGTTCATTTTGCTAGATTTGTTTTCTTATTTAAATCAGTTAAGCCTATATTATTTTTTATATAACAAACTCATAGCTATTTAAATATATATATAGGTATATATTATTGTTATATATTGTATATCTGTACTGTGGTCTTCTGAAGTAATTTATTTAGAACTTCTTATTTTAAACACCTTGTACAAGACAAAATACATAATTAAAGCTTCTTTTGTTTCTTTTTTTTTCTTTTTTTTTTTTTTTTCTTCCATATATCATCGTTTGATAAAAGCATAGACATGTAGTTTTTCGCCAGCGAACGTAGTATCATATATTATTCCTAAGGCCTTTTCAAGTAAAGTATGTGCTTGTTTCATTGCTTTAATTTTTAAAATTGAAGCGATATCAACAGCGTTCGCGCGAGTTATAATCACGTTTCCGGTCCCCTCGTTTCCTTCGTTCCAATCGCAGAGACGCTTATGCACGAATCCGCGGCGCCGAGACACTTCCAAGCGACTGCTCAGGTCGTTAGGCAATTGGTATGGAAACATGAGGAGTCTCGTTGTTGAGGTGACTGATGCTGTTCCAGGTAGTCTAGCACGTTAAATCTTTCCTCGTCTGGATTGATTTCCTTATTTGACTTTGCTTTCAGCTCCCTAAAATCGAAAATAGCGATCAATTTTTCCTCTTTAATATTTTAATTTTTTAAATAGCGAAGAGTCAGTTTCAGTATTTGAATATCGTTTGAAGTTGTGCACCTTTTCAACAATGTGAAAATTCTCTTCGGTTGATAAGAAATAGTTTTTAAAATCACGTTGCGAGCGTGTATTTTAAGCTGGCTTATTGTATTTGTCAAACACATTTTTACTGAAAAAATGATAACTTTAACAATAACCCAATAACTATACTATTACGTAGAGCCTTCTAAACTTATTGTCAAAGCGATAATTTTTACTCGGTAAATGGAAAAACTACTTCGATTCGTATTGATTTCATTAGTGAATTGCTCAACGCTATTGTTAGTTCAAAACCGCTGGCAATGCTAATATTTTTCCACTTGAATAGTCATAACTCTGCCGTGAACGAGAAGCCCGAAGCGTGCGCTTATGACGGTCGTCGTAAGTGCGTCTCAACGATAAGTGACGTGCTGCGGGGATTGCGAGTGTGTATAACCGCCTGAGCGATAAGGCATTCTTGACCGGAGTCCTAGTTGCTGTCGAGACTAAATAACAAAAGCGCGCGCTCACCGGGCGACTGCTTGAAAAGCTAATTCGACGTTGAGGCCGGTCTTGGCTGAGGTTTCCATAAAGGGCACCTTGTACTCGTTCGACAATCGCTGGCCTTCTTCTTTTCTTACCACCCGTTCCGAGCTGCAGTCACATTTGTTTCCTGCAATTGACAATTTACTATTAGCTCCTTTAATTTCTTGCAAAAATATATTATCGAAACGGGAAATCTCGTTCAACTTTTCATGTAAGCTTTTTACGATGTTTCAGTAGCATGAATGTACGATTTTCAACGGCTAATAGAAAGTCACTTTATGGTTTCAGAATATATTAGAATTTAGGACGCACGCGCAGTTCTGACCGGAGTGAACAATTCTTTGAAGTGTCTTTTTTATAGCGATAGTTCCAAATGAAATTTCATAGTCGTGTCCTCCATTTCAGCCTAAAATAACAATTTATCAATTCTTGGATATAATATTCTCAAAATAAATTAATTTATTAATTCGTATCCAATATTAGGCTTGAATGTCTGATAAAATTTGTAAATAAAACAGTCGAAAGCGAACTACTTGATAATATGCCGTAATTTATTTTAACATACAAATTTTCTAAAGTTTTCACGTGTCTCCGTTTTGCAAATTAATTCATGCTATATGAATTCGACCGCTAAAAAAATTTCAATTTAAAAATGGAAAGGAAAAAGAAAATGTCAAAAGATAAATTAATTTTTTGAGAGTAGAAACATGGATTGATTAAGATTTGATCCATGTGGCAGTAAATTATCTCGAATAACAAAGAAATAGATATCGAATAACGAAGTCGGCATTAAATGTTTATATGTAAATATTTTAATAAATGACTATGGTTTATCAACAGTCTCAAAAGTCGAAAAATTTCAAGTCGTTGAAAATGTCCCTGAGACAATTAATTATATGTCTATCTTTTTATTAGGACACGAAGCTGGGGTAATTTTTTTAACCAAATGCATCGGATACGACTTTTAAATATTAATGGAATCTTTTGAGCACAGCACTATACATTTGAACGTGTAGCCTTTTAAAATAACGTTCATTAACTATTCATTTTAGTTCAAGTATTCGAACGAAATGTAAAATACTCTCGAGAAAAATTCATCTTTCCAGAATTTACGATTGCCAAATCAGAATGATTTGCTTGAGCTCTTTAAGGGCCATACATAAATTCTTATTTTAAGCATTAAATAATAAATGTCCTATCGCATGCGCAATGATTTTTGTGATGAAACGTGAAGTTTACGCCACGAGTTTCATTAAAGCCTCTTTGCATCAGCTAGGGACAGTGTTTTCTCATACGAAAGCCGGACACGAACGCCAAAGGTGCGATTTGGAGGTTAGAAACCGGAAAATAGAATTACAAAGTGAGAGCAACATAATGAACGTTGTTGTACCGTCACATGTCCATTCAAATTTATTCTACAACCTATTTTTTTCTTTTCGTCTCGGATGCGTGGATGAGAAATCACTCTACTCAAACGTCCACGAGCATAATAGTTAAAACGATCTAGAGCACACCTACGCACTGATTTGCATTGGCACGCGGGAGCTCGTACCGCGCATGCCAGCCAGCAGTACAAAGGCTCGATATGTGACAGTAGCTTGTTGCATTCAATTAAGAAGCCGTAAGAACTGGCGCGTATATACAATGGACAACTAATCAATCGTTTTTTCCCCTCGGTACATTTTCACACCCACGCGTCGCCGTGTCAATAGGATACGCCTGATTTATCCCCGCGCGGCAGCGGCCGCAGTACCCCCCCTCCCAATGAGATCCCGATAATAACTCGTCCTATTACTCTCGAGACGCATCATGCGCCGGCGGGCTGTGCAAGCTCGTGCCTGCTCGAGTGCTCTTGTGTGCAGGTGTATTTTTATCGCAGCGGCGGCGGTTGTATGGAGCGTTGACGCTTACCCAGTAGCATAATGACCACGTCGTCTTGAGCGTATTCTCGGATCTCGCCGAGCCAGGCTCTGATGTTATCGTAGCTCTGCTTGTTCGTCACGTCGTAGAGAAGTAGTAGTGCTGCGAAACAAAGAGTAACGAGAGGGGGGGCTATGAATACGGGGGGGGGGGAGATAAGCCCCCGAGCTCATCGATTATGCACGAGCCAGCCGATGAAAAAGCAGCAGCGTCTCCTTGCCTTCGAAATGAGCCAAGGCTCTCCGCGCCAATCGACGAGTTATGAATTGGCTCGTGTGCGAGCTACGGTAATTACGTGCGGTGACCTTGACGGTATTGGTGCAAGAATCGCGCGTCGTCAAATAATTCTTGTGACGACGGGCAAACTTTGCAGCAGGAATTTCGCTTAAACTTCCCCTAATCCGCTGCGATTCGCGCGGCACAACTCGGCAATAAAGTTATTCGAGACACGCGCGCGTGAGAGAGAGAGAGACTAAGGAATTGCCCGTTCGATGACGCGAAAGTACACCGCGGAACAAAGTCACTTGGACGAACATTTATTTGTCATACGAACCGCTCGTCAACGCTCCGCGTAGACAAGGATGCCACTTGAGAAGCTCGTGAAAGATTTTGCAGTTGAGGTTGGCTCGCGATGAGATTAGCCATTTCTCGGGGGGTTTGGGCAAGCAGAATAACGAGATGTGGGATCATAGAAAATGGTTATGATTGCGGGAGCTAAAAGCATGTGTTACCATGCGCGTCACGGTAGTAAGCGTGCGTTACGCTTCGGAACCTCTCCTGGCCGGCAGTGTCCCAGATCTGAAGCTTCACTTGAGAGTCGTCCACGGTGACCATTTTATTCTGCAAAAGAGAGCTTCAATTTAGTTGATAATTCAGTGGCAAGGCATGTATCAGTGTGCGTTGCGGCGTGTGTTATTTGGTATTTCATTACGGATAATATGGATTTGACAAGTTGCTTGTTGAAAATGCATGGAAATAACGTGAAACGTCACCCTAAAGTCAATGCCGACAGTTGAAATATAGTTGCCGGAGAGAAATTGGCCATCGCGAAATCTCGTGAGAATGCAGGTCTTTCCCACTCCGCTATCTCCCAACAGCATCACCTATACATAACGTACGTCAGTTGTTTATGATTAAGCATTTATCCTGCGTTATTTATTGGACTTTTGAACGACGGTCTTCGTGAAATGGATATATTTTGCTGATGCTTGGCTTGAAACCCACGACAAAAAGTTGGTTCTTAAAGTGCCGTATGTAAACGCTTAGCTAACGAAGCTGCTCGTATTGATTGGCGCCGCGCCGCATCTCTACTGGGGAATATGTATCCGTGTCGGCTGCGAATATAAAAACACGACAGAGTTTGTTCAGTTCCGCTTCGATGATTTTTCTGCATCCGAAACGCTTTCTTGTAGTGCACACGCACCCGAGGTTTTTCATGCGCGCTCGTATTTATCGAATGTAGTTTTCCCTTCGCTACCAATTTATCAAATTTTCTCGCGCGGAAATGGAGTTTTTAACGACCGGGACGAAGATGCACTACGCTCGCAAAGACCATCGTTAATAAATCCGTAGATAGAGTAAAAAACATTCTCGATTGTAAGCGCCGCTTGCACATTTTAAAATGCAGGCCTTGGGCAATTGCAACGAGAGAACTCAAGAGAGAAAGAAAGGCGCGATCGACGCGTGAATCGAGTGAAGCACCTTGCAGTGAAGGTCGTAGTGTTCGGGTGTGGCCGAACGTTGCGAGCAAACGCTGTCGTTCGAGGACTGGCGGCGCGCCGGCTGGTGGTGGGGTTGAGCGGCCCCAGGGGCCTTTCCATTGCTGGTGGTGGGGAGCCAATCGAAGCGTCGCTGCCCGGGCCCCTGCTTCTGAGCGGCGCGTACCTCTTGCGTGCTCATGAAAGCCTGATCGTCGGAGCACCAATTTGCTCTTCTTCTTCTCGACCACTCCTTGGTCGGCGAGATTCGCGGATTTCTGCGGACTGCTGCTGGTGCCTTGTGCCTCGGCAGACACGACAGGGTCTAGCAAGCACAACGCAATCGCCAGCAGACAAGAGGTCAGTCAACCTCGTTCGTTCTGCTGACGCTCGTTGCTGCCGCTGCTGCTGCCACTGCCGCCGCCGCCGTCGCTGCTGCTGCTGCTCGGTAAAAGAGAGAGAGGAAAAGGACGTATAATCGTTGCACCAAGCGAGAAGCACTTTGCTGTGCTGCAGGAGCGTAATGTTTTATGATGGAGCCCCCACAATTTTTGTTTTAACGGTTTTTTTGTTTTCTTAACAACTTACAAACTTCTTTCAAAATATCGTTTCAAATGATGTATTGGCTTTACTTGGCTTACCTGGGATTAGCTTGAGAATGGGTTTAAAGCGAGACAGTCATTTGCGAAGCGAGGGTTTGGTCACTTTCTCGCACATATATCTAACTTGACTATTCGACACTCTGTGTGCAAAGTACGTCTTTTCCGCACGCTTGGCGAAAAACGAGCATTGAAAATCTTACTTTCCACGCGTCGTATCGAAAAATATGGTAAAAAAATCGTAATGTTCTATTTTAATACAACATATACGAGACGAGATTTGACGTACGCTCGCTTTCCTGCGTGAATCGTGACTTCGCGCACGGGGTGTCGAAATATTCCATTTCGATACTAGTATGAGAAAGTAATTTCAGCCTCGTATGGACACTTGCGCTCGGCACAGAAGACGAAGAGGCGGCACAAGACTGAAGTCACTCTTTCGCGCATGTATCTAACTATTTTCGATAGCGACGCGTGTGGAACAAGATTTTGAATATGCTCGATTTCTCGAGCGTGCGTAAAGTCGAGTCTATCGAAAAGATTTGTTTAGCATGATTACATTTTAAACAGTTACATTAAGTTCCAACTCTTAAAGCGGAATTTGACTCGAGTATTAAATTAATGTTTCCCTCCTTAAAAGTAATAATTCATTTCGAGTTTTTTAAATATATATGACTCCACAATTAAAAATGAAAACTTTGAAAATGGAAAAAGTTTGTTTTAAGAGAATAGAACACTTGAAAATAAGCTCTTTATTGAAGAACCTCGAGTCGGCAGATTTTAAAATACTAGAATTTATCGTATAACTTTTACTGAGTTTAGTTGTTTATGACGCTATTTCGTTGTTCGTTATTTAAAAACTTTATAATCAATGTATGAAGTTTTGCATTTTAATAAAAAGTTAAAATATATAGATTAACCTAATGCGCCTAATGTTTACCGTGAACAAACCATTTGTAACGAGAACAACGGTTATCTTGTCATATGATTAAAAAATTTTTCGTTCATCGATCAATTATTTTCAACCAATAACGAACTTGCATTATTACATGAATATATTAGAAACTCAAAAACGCGTTATTAATAATTTTATAAATGATATATACGTAACTTCGTAAAATTTCCGAGGTGTTCTTGAATGTATTCAGGAGGATAAAAGTATTAATGATGTAAGCGGCATTGTATATCTGAACTTGTCGGTTGAGCTGAAAAACTCAATGTGTGTTGAAAAATGTAGACACTTTCGTTTTATCCGATAATTATTGTAAATAATATGCAAAAGCTTTACGTTATACTAAAAAATGTTGCATATGTAAAAGCATCAGACAAATTGAAAGAATCATACAAAATCGCTGACATTAACGAATTATTGCAATTCTACTATTCTATTGGTGAAATTCATATGGTACACCGAGTATAATAATAAATAATCTTCACGTTCATCTAATCACGTCAATCTTACTCCTCTGCGTATGAAATGTAAGCTCTATAAAGTTATATTTTGCTCAAACGAATGAAAGATTTAAATAATTGTGTTACTTGACAAACGAGTAAAGTAAATCGTAAGCTTTTTCTACAAGTTAATTTATGTATTACAATTGTTTTGAAAGCTTATGATTTCTATAAAAGTTATTTATGAACGTAAAATTGCATGTATTTATATGGATTTTGAAAGGAGGTGAAATTAGTATGAGACGTGCGATGAAAAATCGATGGTACCGCCACATTAACTCGCAGACAAAAAGCGCTCGTGGCTCATGTTACTCAATCGGACACACTGTCAGTAAAGTTACCCTTGACCAGCGGCAATAGCAAGGTAAAACTATTAATTCATAGGAAGTAACGTCTAATGCAGGTAATACGTGTATGCGTGTGGAAACTGGTACATCGAGTTTCATGTTAAATTTGAAATTCGAATACACTGCTTGTTAAATCCACATGGATTTGATGTCTATAGTTAGCGCTTCGTATGTGGTTTTTATCGTAATATTAGCGTGAATCTACCGCTAATTAAATGGCTTTATCATTAATTCCTTCTTTTCGTTATTTCACACGTTTAGAAGCTGTTGGTTAATTATTGAAGTGTATAATACGATTCTACATATGAAACTCACGCACGCGTGTGGATGTTTACTAATTCTACAGTTTCTCCGTCGTCAAAGAAAAGTAATACCGAATGTTGATGAACCCCATTATTGTTTCAAAATCCTTCGTGAAAATTAGTTGGATTTACATCGATCTGTAGATAGATAAGCTTCAGGCGGAAAGATTGAAAACGATGTCATCGGACTCGTAACATTTGTGTTCTTCGGATGATTTCGATTTTGACGTAAATCTGACAATGTGCTTAAGACGAGTGTGTAATAATAAGATTTGTACGCCCAACAGGCACTTACAGATGTAACAGACTGCCTCGTGCAATTCGATCATTTACGTGGGGATGCTACTGTTTAAATGCTGGAAAGTTGTGCGACAAGTAGTAAATCGGAACAAGGTTAATAATATACAGCAAATAAAGGCACGCAACAATGAGAAATTACGATAGCCTCGTGAGTGCCATCGAGAGAAAAAAAAAGACAAGAAAAATAGCAAGCCAACCCAGTCGCTGTCGTCTAGAGTGCACGCGCTCCAATCCTCGTCCCATCTCGAAAAAGCGGCGCGTCTCGCTCTCGCGAGAATACGGTCCCTTCTGGCAAGAGTCTCTCAGCCTGCCCACTCTCGGACCGGAGGCCCACCCACGTTCTCGGCAAGAAGAAAGCGCTTGCTCGGCTTTTGGTGGGAGCGGTCTTTCGCGCTCGCGTACCCGACTAGTGGCGCCCCAAACTCGACGACACGGGGACCCACGGCAACATTTCCATTCTCTCGGTCGCGCGCGGGGCACTGACACCATCTTGTCACGTGATCTGTAGCTGCTCGCTCGCGCCTTTGTACGCGCTGACCGTCTAACTAGAGACAACCGCCGCGTCCGTGTGGAGCGTCTCTCTCTCTCTCTCTCTCTCTCTCTCTTTCTCTCGTGTGCGAGCACGGCTATAAAGTATTCGTCGCGTTGGCAACGACTCTCGATTCGGTCGGTCGGCCTTAGCCTCTCTGGGAGAGACGCGAGAGGGAAAAAAACTTTAACGTGGATTTATTAGGCGGCCGCTCGCGGCTACGATTGCGCTTGATCGCGGCGCTTTCTCGGAAGCACTATGCGCTCTTATTTCACATTTTGCGCGTGCACTGCGAGCTTTTTCGGAGCCGTGCCCTCGAGCCAACGAAATCTATCGTAGGATCCACGCACTACTCGGCTACTCTAATACAAGCTGTTCTTGTTGTCAAGCATGGACGTTTGAGTCAAACGCATGCACACATTCCCTTCGCCGAGCTTCTGCTCTGCAGCAGCAGCAGCTAAAAGAGTCACTCTCCCGGCGTAACTAAGCCAAAGCGCTATTACGTAACATCTCCGAGCGAAAGGAAGAAACGGCACCAAAATAAACATATCGGCCGTGGACTTACGCACAGAGACTCTTGTTAGCGCCAAAGAGCTTCTCGAGTTGAACGTCCTTATGTACTCGCCAGGTTTTTGTCCTCCTTACATAAAGACATCCGGTTATACGACGACGACGACGACGACAACGACGACGACGTCTCTTTGACGAAACAAGAGAAGAGAGAGAAACAGAAAAAAATATGGACTTTCTAATCGCATTAATTGCCCGCATAAGTGTGCGGTCTAATCGGAATCGGGATGTTTCCAGATCTCGAAAAACACGTCCTATATATCTACAGTAGTAACATAGTTAATTGCTACGATTTTACGTAATGGTTACTGTATTTTCACGGTATGTTTGAGGAAGTCATTCGGGTCGTAGCGCATTACGCGAATAGTTGACCGACAACGCGCGCATATGATAAAAATTAAAATTTAAAAAAAAAACGAGAAATCGATAACAAAAAGTCGAAAAGCGATGAGTTTCATATGTGTCGTGAGTTGTTATGTCCTATCGCTTTAACAAATTGAATGTTTTTAATTATGCTTTTACAGTGAAACGGCATTTATATAAAAAATTGTTCACACGTGCACGTAAAAACATGGGAAACACGGGATAGCTAGAACGGACACGATCAAAAGTAATAACGCGCAGATACGAGTGCATTTGCAGGAGCAGCCAGTAAAGCGTGACTGTACATTTTCGAGTCGTTTCGCTTTTTTCGTTTTTTTTTTTTTCTCATCCTCTTATCCCTTTCGGTGTCGTGTGTTGTTTTTTTACCCTTATCAAAGAGCATTCGTGCGTGTGTGCGTGTGCGTGTGTGATTTTTCCATCATTATGCAGGAGAGCATCGCTGCCGTTGCTGCTCAAATCCCACTGGAACGATTAATCCGAATCGAAGGCGAGGCAGAGGCAATTACACTGTCGCGCGAAATGCGCCTCGAAAGGGAATAGTAGCTTGATTCTTTTTTTGTTTTCTTTCTTTTATTTTTTGCGAGCTGCTGGAATATTTTACGTCGTTAAGCAATTATCCGTCGTCCGAGTAATCAGCATTTATCGTATAATGTACGTTAGTAGTAATTAAATTAATTAATCGAAAGTAGTCCGAGTTGATGGGTTTCGAAGGAAACCGTTAATAACGTTAACGAATTATAGCTCGGACACTCGACAAAGGAAAAGAGAAAAGTTGTGAGCGCAGCGTCCGGCGGAGTATTATATACGAAGAAATAAAAGTTAAGTAGGGGAAAGTTTCCACATAAGCTGCTTTTGTAATACAAGCTGCACAATGTGCCGGCAAAAAAGAATGGCCGAATTACCGTACGATCGCTCAGCATATTGGAGCCCTATAATTTGGCGAGATTTACGAGAGGGAGACTGCGGCAGAACGGCGCGAGGGAATATCGCGAAAAACCTCCTAAGCGGTCGTCGAGAGTTGGCAGCAAAAGGCGCACGGCAGAACGTCGAGTCATTAAAGCTGCTCATTGGCCGCGCGTCTTGGCTGCTGCTCGCAGAAGGCGAAGGGCCATTTGAGGAATGGTCAGCACATGCGTTATAGTGCAGCTCGATTAACCGCTTAATTAACACGCTAATTAATGTATTGATTGCGCTCTCTCGATTGCGACTCGGTACGTCGTCTTATTGCCGTTACGTACCAAGCATTCCGAGGCTATCTGATAGAGCGCAATCAATGTTATGATTGGCCTGGGAAATACTTATCGCCACTTTTCATTTGAATAAACATCTGACGGAATGACGTCGCGATGAACTGCAATTAGTGTTCATTAAATTTAATGAAAGACAAGTATTTATCGTTTTGCACCATTAAAAGAACCAAAACTGTGCGTTCTCCCAAAGTTTCAATCTAAAAGCAGGCATTTACTACGGCTGCAAGTCGATTGAGAAATGAAACTGACCAGATATCCAATGAGAACGGTTACAAGTTATAAAAATTGATCGCACTCAGAGTAACTATGACAGTGCCATTTCACGGACCGACAAGGAACGTCGATCAGAACGATTGCCGTTCCCATGAGATTGTCGGTCTCCCGCAAGTTTTTTCATCATTGTGCGATCAATGCGCGAGAGTCGAGTTTTATCCGTTGCAGAAAAAAATTTTTCCATTTTCCGTCATCGGGACTCGAACCGGCGTCCTTTCGAGCGCGACGCGGCAATGCCAACCGCTCGACTAACTCTGCATCTTGGATATGTACGTCATATACCAATCAACCGTTCAACGTGCTGACTTTCGGTTGATGAAGACAGTCGTCTATAAGATAGCTTATTATTATAAAAACTTTTTCCAATCTTTCACACGACATATACCATGTATCTGTTAACTAATATTGCAGTTGACTGATTTATTGCTGCTTTTCGCAATATCATGAATAATTCGATAAAAATTGACATAAACACTACGGTGACAGACTATCGAAACTTATATAAATTTCTTTGCAAACAATATTAATTTATTTATTTCGAGCGCATCAAAAATAAATTAGAAGATCATTTTTAATCGATAATAGTAAATATTTTTTAGTTTTTTCTTATTCATTAGTGTCGTCAAGCGCGGCTCGCGCGCTCATGTCTCGTTCGTATTAGTATTGAATTTCATGCTTGAATTAAATCAAAACTATTATAAAATACACCGCATACATATATTAGTAATTTTTAAGACGTTTAACATCCATCAACATTAATTCCCCAATAAAAATTAAATTACGTTAATATTCACAGATTTAATTATAATTTCTAACCTAATAACGCAGCAGATCATTAGACGTTAGCTAATTTACCATAATAATGGGCAATGTATTAAGTTCATATCTACTTCGTCTTTTTTTCTAAATACCCGGTACTGTTAGCTGTGGCGAATAATTCAATTTTCTTTGTTTTTTAACATATTTGTCTACAATATAGAACTTTTTGAAGGATATCTTTATATATCAACAGATGTTTCTTCTTTCAATATCGGCTCGTTTGGGGCAGTACTTTTCGCTAACTCCAATACAATTACGTTAATAATCGTAGATTTAGTTATTATTTCAAACCTTATACCGTAGCAGATCTATTATCTTTATTTGATGTTAAATAAGCTGTAGATAACGGGCAGTGTACCAAGTTCGTTTCTCCTTCTTCTGTTTCTAAATTAATTTCATAATTTTTTTTTATTAACGAAAATACTGAAACTCGCAATCAGTTTCGGGTTTCAGCTCGTTTAGAGTAGTACTTTTCACAAACGATATTTAAAAATTTTCACTTCCAGCAACATAATTGTTGCCTTTGACCGATTCATTCGTGATAATTTTGAGGTTATTTTTCTATGCATAAGTTTAATGTTTTCGAATAAATTATTGGACAAGATAAGAATAAGTTAGTATTTTATTTTATGAAGTAATCTATCAGCTTATTATTTGCTTATTTTTTACCGATATCTATTGGAAGCTAACTTTATATCAGAGGTATTCAATAAAGATATATGTTCTAAGAATAAAAGTAATTAAAGAGCATTAAAATTATTTCTCATATTATTTTAAGGTTCCGCAGTAGAGTGAATGTGGATATTATTCTTTATTTAATGCTTATAAAACATTTTACTTATTTTTTATTTACTCAACTAATGAATATAAAATAGATGTAAAAAGATTAGAGATATTTATTAGCACAAATTTGCTGAACATACGAGCTGTCGTGCTAATAATATTATATACACTAATTTCAATACACGTATGCAAACATACTGCCACATGATGGTAACCCATGTGACTACTTTTCCGCCAATTAGGTTATGAGTATCATATCTTCACTTTTTTAGTAGAAATATAATAAAACGGTTAATTTTGTAATATGTTAAATTCAATGAGTGATATAACACAGATATAACGACAAATTTAATAAAGAAAACTTGCAGACGCCGTTTTAATGCTCTCATATTAAAGTCGTATATATCTTTGCATAGATGATATACAATTATTTCCAAATACAATAAAGTTTCGTTACTGCTCTCTGTCGTTACATAACCAACAGGTTGTCGTGTATTTTAGTTTATGGTGCAACATAAAATTTTGATGCTTAAACAATCTACTCTAATGTTTACAGGAAATTTAAATAAATAATACTCAAAATATGGCTTTGCTATCTACGTACAAACAATCCACTAATTTAACAACAGAAACAATTTGTTTGGATTGGACACTGGACCTGCGGGAAACTAGAAACAGTGCAGTCAAATTGGAACAATTAACATCGCCTGAATTCACCGTGAAAAACCTCTCTAAAACTTGTTTTTTTGAGTTTCATTATCCTGGTCGATTACATAAGGAAGAAACTTATAACGTTGTTTTGGAAAAATGTAATGAATTTCAGAATTGCTCTATTTCTTTACGTATTTTCGATAATATTTTAAAGGATGAAAATATGTTTAGGCTCTTATATGTTACCGGTAATAGGATTGAATCAGTATATAATCATAAGTCCTACTTTTATCATTCATATTTTATCCCATCGCCGACAAACAGTTTATATACCGTGAGAAAGATTAGTTGCAAAATAAAATATTTTACAATTAAAGAACCGGTAATGCTGAGTTTAGAAAATTTAATGCCTAACATTTATGGTAAATTATTAAAGAACCAAGAATTATGCGACATTACATTCTTGATTGGTGCCGAAAAAATAAAAGCTCATACTGTAATTCTTGCAGGGGCAAGTGCTTACTTTTTAGCCATGTTCAAAAATAAAGACATGATAGAAAATGTTAACCGTAAGGTAGATTTATCAAATGATGACGATGTTACAGTCGACAATTTTCAAGGTTTAATTGACTACATATATGAATGTAAAAGTATCGATGATCTGAGTAATATAGTTTATGAACTTATTGTTTTAGCTGATAAATTTGATGTAAAGCACTTATTTCTATGTTGTCAAAATTACATAAGCAAAAATATTATTGAAGAAGATATTGTGAAAATATTGATATTATCAGATAAATATAATTGTGAGTTATTAAAAAAAAATGCTATTGATTATGCAAAATCGCGTATTGATGTAGTAAAAAAATCTGATGATTTTGATAACTTATGCAAGATAACTGATGTGATGCGTTCTTTATTATAATTGTTCATTTTTACATGAATACGTGAAACTCTAATTAATTAAAATAATATTATTTTCTTCTTATTACGTAAGCTTTTATGTTTGTTGTTACAACTGTTTTGGAATGTAATAATTACGGTTTAGAATTTAAAATATTTATCATAGGTTATCTACAATAGGTTTCAGAATAAGTATACTAACTAAACTCAATGATTATTTCATGTAGATAAAGAAGTTTCGTTATTCATTAATACTTATGTAACGATATCATAATAAATATCATTGAAAATTATACTGCTCATTTTCAATAATGAAATAGTACTTAGTAAACGTAAATAACGGTATTCTAGATAGTAAAATTTCTACTAAACCTGTGGAAGCAAAGGATTCCACACACGATTTCAGCTTACACAATGTTGACGAAAAAGACAGTTTGTCTGGAATGGACCATGGAAGAATTTGGGGTTTTGAAGTATATCACAAATTTGAAGTCTTCTAAATTCGTATTACCAGAAATTAATAAACGCTGCTTCTTTACCTGTCGCAAAACAGTCATTTCTATCGTTCTAGAAAAATGTTCTGAACTGAAGGATTCAAAATCAAATGTATGTCATTGTTTCAAATGAAAAAAAAGAAACGAAACTTTATTACGGTTCCAGTTTAAATTGCAATCAAAAGTCATATTCTTATTATAGTGATAACTACACAGTCCAATATACAGAGTACGATTAAAATCGTCTGACTTTTATATTCGAACTAACATATACTATAACAAATTTTAGTAATAAATCCAATGAAGTTATCATTTTAACCGAATATGATAAATTGTACAAAAATCAAGAATTGTGTGATATTTAATTTTCAATTAAAGAACAGAAAATTAAAGCTCATAAAGTTACGCTTGCCACGGCTAGTTCTTATTTTCGAGCCATGTTTAAACACGGCAATTTTGTAGAAAATAAAAATTAAGTCATCGATTAGACAAATGATGGCGACGTAACTTATCAAAATTTTCCAAGCCTTCCTTCACTTTATGTATGGTTGTAAAAGTATCAATGAACTGAGTAACTTTGCTTTTGAGCTGCTTGTTTTAGTAGATAAGTTTGATGTGAAACAATTAATAGAAGCTTGTGAACTCTATATAAGTACCAGCAGAGTATCTGCCAAAAGAGTTTGAAAATTTAAGTAAACATACCAATATAGTGATGGACTTGTTGTAAAAAAAGTATTTTGAACTGGTTTTCGTTGCATCTATATTGATCTTGTTGCAGCCCCAGTTACCACCCAAAATATTGTTATAAACTAAATAACACTAATGAATCTCGATTATATAAATTTGTTGTAAACTACATACTTATAATAAATATCGTAAAAAATTCTTTCGGGATGAGCGCATTGCAAACGTGTCCATTATCAATTATGCACCTGAGCAAAGATCACGCACTTGTCCGATCGCACATTACTCCAGGCAGTACGTGTAGGCCGCGGCTAATAGTGGAAGATCCGACGCGAAAAGCTGGCAGAAAAAGTCGACAAGAAACTGAACCGAGTCGCGTGATAAAGTGGCAGGAGCTGTTCTCGCGATAAGCCCGGCAGGCCGGAAGTGGGAGACGATACTCGAGTCGAACTCGGCGACGCTCGTACTCGCGCCCGGCCCACAGTCCACGCATGCTTCCGTTCTAGGCGATTGCACCTACTCGCCGCGAAAAGAACGCAAAGGTGGGCATTCGGACGATCAAATTGAGCGCTATCGCTTTTATTGCCCATTGTTCCGCGCCGAGCTTGGGCAGTTAGTTCGCGCATTACGCTCTCTTGGGTACTGCGCTGTTGGACTGATTTACGAACGAGTCCGGTGCACGGAATTCCCCTCGTTGCTCTGGCTGCCGATGTTTGAGAAACGATCACGGAAGCGTGCCGTATCAGCTGAAAACATTGATAACAGTGGCGCGCACGATACACCGAGTTGAGCGACATTCGCGAGCGACGCCGGAGTCATACGTAGCGCGTGCATTTTCGGCGGGTCGCTCGATATATCCGATTCCCCTTTCGAATATGATCCACATGTCTGCCGGGCCGAAGGGCACTTTACAAAACGATCCGCGCCTGAATGGAGAAAAAATAAGAGCGCCCCGGCTAACTGGCCA